TTAGAGGCTTAGGGGCTTAGGGGCTTAGGGGCTTAGGGGCTTAGGGGCTTAGGGGCTTAGGGGCTTAGGGGCTCAGGGCTTGGGGGTTTGGGGTTCAGGAAGATTTTAGGCCTAGAAGGCTCTTTTTGGTATATAGGAGACTAACTGTAGGATTTGGCCTCTCCAGCCTCTGTCTACGCAAGGAAAGTCCCTCTTTTACTAGCACCATTGCTATGATCCTACTATTATTAAGCAATGCGAAGTCATGAGCCCACGGCCCCGGTGTAGGCAAAGAGACCTTCCACAAGGTGCTGCATGTGGTTTGCCAAAGTAGCCTCTCGTCATTGTACTAAAAATGTAAAGCCGAAACCCTAAGCCCTAAACCCCAAAATGATGTTCCACTGAATCCAAGGGTACCATGAGAAAGGTTCCAGTCAAGTGGAGGCTAGGTGGCGTGGGAGCTATAAGGACTCATCTTTAAAGAGCTGTGCCCTCAAATCAGCTGCAGCTACCACTCTTCGGAAGAGCCGAAAACATGCAGTTCTACTGTTGATGTATGAAATCTTGCACCACCTAGGGGCCCAAAACTACTGTAATTCCTAGGACTTTAGGGACTTAAGGTGGTGCAAGATTTCCTCCATCAACAGTATGATATCCGGCTTTGGAATCCTCACACATGCAGAGAGTGAAGAGATCACAGAGCTTCCCCGAATGTATTTGAAGTCTAGATTGGCTTTCTTGACTGAATCCCCCATTTTCGTGCTGCATTACCTGCGCATGAATGCGAAGAGGTTGCATGGTGCGCCCCAGATGAGAATCCCCTCACAAATTTGATTCGCCACGATAGTCAGTTGCAGCCAAGCATCCTCACTCCTTGCAGGCAAGGCGTGAATCCCGACTCTTTAGGGTTGAAGGATTGGGGCCAACTAGCTCAGGCATGGTGGTCGGGGAGATCAGGAGCAATGCACTGCAAAACTCACGGGCACTTTGACATGGTGTCATCTGGTCAGAAGCCAAAAAGAGGGTTCGGGTCACGGGCTTAAGCGCGGGGGGGGGGTTCGGGTTCGGGTTCAGGTATTCGGGTTCGGGTTCGGGTTCAGGT